TAGTATTATCAAAGGTAATAAATTTCATAGAAATTAAGCCAGCCTTTTAGCTATGAGTTAATTGTATTGACTTGTACTGATTCAGGTGTCCAATTTCTAGATATCAAGGGAAGGAATTGTTTTGGGGAAGAAAGTTATAGAAATTCAGTTAGACCAATTCTAATATTCACTTTCAATAATAAAATATATACTAAAAATAGATGTTTAAACTTTATAATTTTATATCATTTATTCTTATTAAATTCTAATATAAAATCCTCTTTTTTCAAAGAGAAATGCAAAATGATCACTAAAAGGAGAGCTAATAGCAGGAATATATAAATAAATGATTTACATTGTTGGACCTCATTTAAATAGTTGTTCCTCCTCTAGCAGTGAAGGGAAAATTGGACATTTTTCAGTAAGAAAAGTACACATTTTAATTTATTCACTCTATTTTCTTCTGTCTTCTGATTATTCAATGATAAATATACAACATTAATCTAACACAGGTATAGATGATACAAAACCTGAAGCTAAATAGTTTTCGTACTGATCTAATATCAAAGATTATCAAGGACTCAGGCCACTGTACTCTCTGGACCTCAGTTTTTTATCTGTAAAGTAGAGTTGGAAACATTGTTTTCCTATGTAATGGAGTTATAAAAATGAGCATAAAAATGCCATATATCAAAAGTGCATGTATCAGTACTCTGGAAAGCTAAAAAACAATAAAAATAAAAAGTTGAATTTAAAATCCTTTAGGGCACTTGGGTGACAGAGTTGGTTAAGCTTCCAACTCTTGATTTCACATTGGTTGTGATCTTGAAGTTATGAGTTGAGCCCCAGACAGACTCTGTGCTGACAGGGTGAAGCCTGCTTGAGATTCTCCCTCTTTCGCTGTTCTTCCCTCACTGGTACTCTCTCTGTCTTTCTCAAAATAAATAAACCTAAAAAAATTAAAAATAAAACCCTTTAAATGATCATTATGCTCTGTTTCCATTGGTTAAATAATTAAAACTATAATTAATTTAAAAAGAAATAATTTTCTGTATGTTTCCATGAAAATAAATCCTCGTTAGTACCCAAATCTTTGAGATGCAATTTCACATATGGTCATGATTTTGTTTGTGAAAAAGTCAAAGACAAATAAACTTCCACACCAGAGCAAATAGATGGCAGAAAAAATAAAAACATTAGAAAATTTAGCTTTCATAGTTATTGTATCCTAACCTCATAGGATATGAGAAAGTATTAGTATTTAAATATTTTCATAAGTCAATTTTTTAAAAAACATAGCTTTCAAAAGAAAGTTAAATATATATTACATAAACCCACTTGATGTCCATCCTATACTCTGCAATGGCAAACAATTTTTTTTTGTTTTCCATAAATTAGCTTCAAGTAACCTTCAAAAATTTTAATCATAAGTTTAAAAGGTATAGTTTTGTTTTCCTAGAAAAGAAGTAATAGCTATTTTAGCATCAATATTCCTTTACCATAAGGTGCTTTACAAATATAATGTTTCTAAGAGCTTTTCTAAAGATGGAAATGAAGCAGATCAATATACTGATTTAATGCCTAAAAGGTCACCAATAAAATATTTATCATTTAAAAGCTAACTATCTAAATTTAAATATGAAAAATAAATGTGACTGTATTCTCAAGAGAATAATCAGTGTTTAATAAGAGATAGTATCCCACCTTAGGCAGCTGATAAAAGAAATATGTTTACAGACTAATTTAATTTTATTTTTAAAATTTTTAATGTTTATTTATTGATTGATGTTGAGAGAGGAAGAGAGAAAGAACACACTAGCAGGGGAGGGGCAGAGAGAGAGAGACAGAGAGAAAGAGACAAAAATTCTCAAGCAGGCTCTGCACCATCAGCCCAGCGCCCTACATGGGGCTCAAATTCACGAACCAATGGAAAATGAGGCAAAGTCATGAGTAAGATGCTTAACTGACTGAGCCACCCAGGTGCCCTCAGACTAATTTAACTTTAGATGATCTATTTTTCCACCAAAACCTCATTTCTTTAAAATTTTACAATAGCAAAATAGTAGTAGTAGTAGTAGTAGTAGTAGGTAGTAGTAGTAGTAGTCATGTTGCTAATACTTGTTAAATTTTTACCTAGTGCTGGGCAGTAAGTGGTAGAAGTATTAAGTACATTAAAATATTCACAGCAGTCTTTCCAAAAACCCCATGATCTAGTTTGTGATTGTTGTTGTTTCCATAACTGTCCTCATTTTAATAAAGTGGCATCTCAGCCTCAGAGAAGTTAGCTGCCTTATCCAGGGATGTACAGCAGTATGTGATGGACCTCAGGTTCAGTCAGTGCATTTGAGTAAAAAGCCAGTACTTTCATACTTAAAAAAGGTAAATGAAGACCTAGTAGATAGATCATCATCGATCTGTGGGCTTTATTGCCTAGAACCTTTCTGCACATGAGAGGAACCTAAGTAAAGTGGAAGAGGAGTGACTAGTTTAAAGTGCAGCAAGGGCCATTGAGACAATATGTCTGCAGGGGCTCATGCCCAATCAGATATGTATTTTTCAATTCATCTTTTCAGAGCTTTGGTTGATGAATCACATGCAGTGCATCAAAATGAATTCCTAAGCATTTTGAAAAAAGAACTGGCTTAATCTGTAATCAAAGAAATTTCATGGATGAATTGTCTTATTATACTCTAATTGTACATTTCAGGTAAGAATCATTTACATTTGAAATGCATAATGGAAGAAAATGCATAAAAAGTTTTTTAATTGTAAAAAGAAAGCATAGTTTAATTAATATATTACTTTTATAGCATGAGGCACTAGTTTTTAAAAATCTTGCATATAGATATATCTTTGAAAATTGATAGATAATATTTAGAATCTCACTCTCCATTTGTATATTGGAACTTGGCAGAAAAAAATGGAAGAAATTCCCATGGTTGAAAAATACTTTGTTCCCTTTAGTCTTTCCTCAAAGTGGTTTCATGTAATAAGAGAATAGTTCTAGGGCACTTGGGTGGCTCAGTCGGTTAGGTGTCCAACTTCAACTCAGGTCATGATCTCTCAGTTTGTGAACTCGAGACCCGCATCAGGTTCTGTGCTCACAGCTCAGAGCCTGGAGGCTGCTTTGGATTCTGTGTCTCCCTCCCTCTCTGCTCATCTCCTGTTCACTGAAGCTCTGTCTCTCTATCTCAAAAATAAATAAACATTAAAAAATTAAAAAATAAATTTAAAAAATTAAAACAGAGAATAGTTCTGTGGAAATTAATAATTTCTCTGGAACTTAGTGAATTAGATCCATTTTTCTAAACTATCAATACCTACATAGCATGTTAAAAGTTGGTGGGTAAAGGAAATTTTGAAAATAACATGAAAAAATTATTTTTCCTCCAACACAATTATGTGTTTGTTACCTCTTTCTCTTTATCAGAAATAAAATAATTGTAATAAAAATTATACTTTGGGCATGAAAATTGCAAGTTTGTTGATTCAATACTTAAGGAATTCTCATCTGCACCTTCATGGAGATGCTTAGAATTATCTCCATTTTCTGGCACAGGTAAACAGCAGAGTCTCCTGGATAAAGTGGCAGGACTCATGTCATAAATAGAATGATTTTTTTAATGTAGTGTGTATTTCCTGAAGGAAAATAAAGATTAAATAAATGTACATGTGAGGCTCAGTCATTCTGCAGAAAAATAAACTAGAATTCAGACAGTTGTGCTGTACGTAATTCAGTACCAACTTATTGATACAAAGCAGGAATAATGATAGTGATTCCTTTACCACAAATTCTTTAAGTCATTAATAAAATGTTATGACTTAATTTTTAAAAGTATAATTGAGGAAAACTTTGTTTTACGTTTGTATTTTTTTCAAAAGTGGTTTTCACAAACCAAGTCTTTCCCTGTATGTCACTTGCATTCCACACCATTCACATACGTTACATGCCATTATGCTACTGAGGAATAAATGTATTTTATCATTAAAATAGATCATTGTAGTTTTATAATGTTACAGGAGCAAATGTTAACAGAATTGTGTTGAATCACTTTGAAACTTTCTCTAAAATTGTCTTATGATAATCTTATTTTCCCTCTAGAGAACACACAGTATGACCAGTTTAATCACTTTCCATTGTGCTTGTTTTTGTGCTAATACTGTTATAACTGTGTAGTAAGCCCTCATATTCAACTACAGGCATAAAACACTTGGTTCGTTTTCACTGCCAGTGCTCATGCTGGTTCTACTTTGTCAGTCAGCATGTCCCACCCTATTCCCAGTCACTTCACATGGATGCTTTCTGCACGACACTCAGAAATTCCATCAACCACATGCCAAGGAAAAATGGCCCCCATCTTTCCCTACCCTCCCATATTGTATTCCTAAGAGATCATACGTACAATAGCTCTGTAAAATTTTGCCTTTAGTCTAACATCATTTATTAAAATATTAAGTGAAAAAAATACAAGTAAGCCATTTATTCTAAAATGATGATTTTCAAACTATTCACATACAGATATTTTATAATGTATTCTCTTTCAAAACAAAGTGCTTGGAGCACACAGAATTTGCAAGTTTAAGACTTAACACTAAAATAATTCCATGTAGGACATTTATTTAACCCTCTCTTACAGGAGTTTTAGCTATATTTTCCTCTTAACAATATGATGACCCATAAATGGTTGTGACTTTCTGACACAGGAGAGTTAGGATGTGATAATCGTCATTATCTCATTATCTTCCCCCGAGGAAATCAAAAAGTACTTTGGAAAGAAGAGTTACTTAAGAGGCTTTTTATTTCCTAAATAAAGTTTGAAAAAATATTTCAAATCATTAACATGTCAGTTGCTTAAAATATTGTTTGAACGCTGGAGAATGGTTCCCATCAATTATGAAATTGAAACCTGACAGTGCCTATCACTTTTTCCTGTCTCCTTAGTTAAAATTAATTTTCAACATAACTGTCTAATCTTTTCTAATTTGGAGCTTAGTAAAAATATTTTCTTTTATTTTTGAAGATACACTTTTTAATGGTCTTGGGCTTGGAGCCGTCATTGGCCTGGGGGTTGCGGCACTCTTGCTAATCCTGGTGGTAACAGACGTCAGCTGCTTCTTCATCCGACAATGCGGGCTATTGATGTGCATCACAAGGAGAATGTGCGGGAAGAAAAGTGGCTCCAGTGGGAAGAGTAAAGAACTCGAAGAAGGAAAAGCAGCATACCTGTGAGTATCAGACATTTGCACTGCATTACATTACACAAATGTCACAATCAAGCTTGGGGACTTTCATTCAGGGATTCTATTTTCCAGGTAAAGAGCTTGATCGTAAGACTGTTGGACACAGTACTGCCTGCTTTCAGATCTTAGATCTATATGACCTTCAATATGACACCTTATAGAGCCAAATGTTTTTGAAAACAGACTATAAAAAAATTTAATGGGATCGACACAAAACATAGTTACTGTCATGATTTAAATATAGATGGAAAAAGAGGTGCCTTGGGAAAAAGGGAAAAAGGGGCTCAGTTGGTTAAGGGGCCGACTTCAGCTCAGATCACTCACAGTTTGTGAGTTCGAGCCCTCTGTCAGGCTCTGTGCTGGCAGTTCAGAGTCTGGACCCTGCTTCAGATTCTGTGCCTACTTCTCTCTCTGCTCCTCCCTTGCTCGAACTCTGTCTGTTTATCTCTCAAAAATAAATAAACATTAAAAAATATAGATAGAAAAATAAAAATATAGATAGAAAGATAGATAAGGGTACAAATGTATTTGTGATTTCTCCCACCATTCTTCAGTTTATATTGAATAAAAGAAGAACACCAACAGCAAAACTTGGTTAAACTGAGTAAAGTAATAAATTATGCCAATTCTTACAAGTGTATGAAGTGATTACATAGAGGTTTCCGGACTGTATAGAAATGTTATATGTGCCATGCAGTACATTACTGCAAATTCTGAATTTACTTTCAAATTTTGATCAAAAGATGATTAAATGTTAGAATTTGGAGCTCTCTGAGGCATCGAACAATTAGACAGATTACGAATTCCACAAAAATACACAGAGTTGAATACTGTAGACCCTTTGAATACATGACTGAATGCATGACTCTACTTCTGAATACAAGCCTCCTTTGTCATGTAAAAGAGCAGCTAAGAAATTTTAATACTTTTCTGGGTTTTTTCTCCTGTGTCTTTTAATAGCTTTGTATCTAATTTCAAAAGTACAAAAGGCTCAATGAAAACATAAGTTGGAGTGGGCCGCCTGGGTGGCTCAGGTGATTAAGCATCCAGCTTTGGCCCAGGTCATGACCTCAGGGGTCCATGAGTTCTAGTCCTGTATTGCACTCTGTGCTGTCAGCCCAGAGCCTGCTTTGGCAGGCTGTCTCTCTCTCTCTGTGTCCCTTCCCCACTCAGGCACTTTCTCTCTCTCTCCAAAATAAATAAAAAGATAATTAAAAATTAAAACAAAAGTTGGAGAGCATGCACACTCACATATAAACACACAATGTTCATGTGTAGATATAGGTGTGTTTGTATACCTATATATATATTAAACACTGCAATCAAAAATAAGCATTCTTAAGAATTAAGATTTCCTTTACTTTTTAAACTTACAGTTTTCCTGTATAAGTTTTTCTAATAATTCATTATGAATATTTTTAAACGTACAAAAGAGTTGAAAGAATTTTATAGCAAACACCCATTTAGCAACCACTTGGGTTCTAAAACAAATATCTTATTATATTTCCCTTATTATGTATTTATCCATCTTTTATCCATTATTTTATTTTTTGCCTTTCAAAATACATGAGTACATTTAACCCCTACACAATGCGACTTTCCTATTATGCATACTTATCTTTAGGTAAAACTTGCATAAAGTAAAATGCACAAAATGTTCCCTTAATGAGTTTTGATAAAGGTTTATATCTGTATACTCAAGATTTATCAAAACTCAGAAATTTAGCATCATCCTCAAAATTTCTAGGGGTAAAAAAAAAAAAAAAAAAATTTCTAGGGGTGCCTGGATGGCTCAGTCAATTGAGCATCCGACTCTTGATTTTGGCCCAGGTCACGACCTCATGGCTTGTGAGATCAAGCCCCATGTGGGGCTCTGCACTGACAGCATGGAGCCTGCTTGGGACTCTCTCTTTCTCTCTGCCCCTCCCCTACTCACCCACACTCACTCACTTACTCCCTCTCTATCTCTCAAAATAAATAAACCTAAAAAAATTTTCTCTCATGCTTTTACCTAAACAACACATACTACCCACCCCCTGCCCCAGGCAATTACTATTCTGATTCTTTTTCATTGTAATTAATTTTTAACTGTTATAGAAGTTGATATAAATGGATTACTGGAATATTTATTCTTATGTGTCTGGCTTCTTTCATTTAGCATCATATTTTAGCATTCATTCATGGTGTTATGTTTTTCAGTAATTCATTTCTTTTTAAAGTTGAGTTATTTCTGTGGCACTTGGGTGGCTCAGTCAGTTAAGTGTCCAACTTCCTCTCAGGTCATGATCTTATGGCTTGTGAGTTCAAACTCCCCATCAGGCTCTGTGCTGACAGCTCAGAGCATGGAGCCTGCTTCAGATTCTATGTCTCTCTCTCTCTTTGTTTCTACCCTGCTCACACTTTTATCTCTCTCTTTCTCACAATAATAAATAAGCATTAAAAACCATTAAAGCTGAGTTATTTCCAATTGTTTTTCTATACATGCATTTAGGCAAGTATGGTCTCATGCATTAATTTCTAGGCTTGGAAATACAGGAGAATCCATTCTGCATGGCTGTATTGTTTTGTTGTTGTTGTTTGTTTTTATTGTCACGCCTAAATCCATCCTAATAAACAATTTGTCTATGACCATTTGTTATGGATACTCTATAAGGGATATTTTCACTTAATGGGATACTAAATTAGATAGCCTCATTTCAAAAACATTAGATTCATTTCACAATCCAAATGTCACCTGGACATTTGACCTGGACACAGAACACAAAAGAGAATAAACAGAAATCAGGCTCTACTTCAGACTTGAATGGGACATTAACGTGTGTCAGGTTAAACATAGCAAGATCAGTTTACTACCCAGTATCTCTTGCTTTCCTTATTAGAACATAGTCTACTTTTTAATAAGTGGCTGTGCCTTTACATTGTCTTATTAACTAAATAAATATGTACCAAACTTAATTTTAGTTTCTTTTTCGTATACTGAGAAAACAATGTACTATATGACATAATTATACATATCACACATGTATACACACACACATAACTCAAAGCTGAATTTTATCTATCTTCATTCCAGGAGATCGATTGAGCAAATATTTACTGGATAAATAGTAGGTAACACGCACTGGTATACAACCTAGCAGTAAAGAGGTGACCAAAGCAAGTAAGAATTTTAGTCACATGAAACTCTTGTTCTGATTTAGGAAGACAGATAATAAGCAGTAACTAAAAAAAAAAGTGGTAATAATACAGACTAGAAAAAAGAAAAAAGAAAAAAGGAGAGATAAATTATTACTACAGATAGGGTCATGAAAGGTCTTGGAAGGGAAGGGAACATTCTAAAAGGTGGAACAATTAATAGGAAAGTCATTAAGACAAAAATAAGCTTACTGTGTTAAAGGACAAATAAACACGAGTGGTGTTAGGCCAAGAGAGTCGGGTACAAATGACAGTTTGGAGAGTTATCTAAGTACCAAAATATTAAATCTTCAGTCAAAGTAAGGGACATTTTTTTTTTTTAATAGAAAGCTCCTGAGAGGTTTAAAGATTATTTCAGTGACTTGTGAAGAATGAATTACTGGAAGGTTGGTAGGTGTAAAGGAAAGATTTAGAACCAGAAAGACTGAATGGGAAGATCTTGAAATACTGGACATACAAAATGATAGTCTTTGGACTAAGGTAGTAGTACTACAGGGATCTTAAAGTGTACAGAGATTAGAGGTTGCTGAGGTAGAACAACTACTATCGATTGATTTGGCTTTGGGGGTGAAAGAAAGAGAGAAATCATATTTTTGTCTTAATTAACTGGAGAAATATTGGTGACCATGTGCAAAACAATAAGGGACATTCAGTTCTAGTATTTATTTTTATTTCACTCTATTAATTGGTATTTTTTCCATCAACACTTCTATTTTTAACTCCTGCTGAGTTTAATTAACCTTAAAGACTTGGGAAGATGAAAACATGAGGTTATTTCCATGCTTTTTATCAATCATAACTTTTTATATTATCATTTCCCCTGCCTTGGGAAAAGAGTTTTCAGTGCCTATTCAAAAATTCATTGTTCAAATTGGGAAATATTATGTTAAATATTACAAATATATATAAATCACAATGAGAAATAGAATATAACTGATTGGATGGATTGGCTCTTTATTGACAACTAAACATAATCCAAAACATTCTTAGACTGGTACTTTCATGTTATCACAATTATAAGACTATGCAGATTTATGACTAAATATGTTAATTACACAGAGTATTCTTTTTTAAAGAGTAGCAAGTGGCAGAAAAGAAAAAGTCAAAGGCACACAGAATTACTTTCATGTAAAGTCCTTGAATTGTCCATTGTTTGGCTTTTATAAATTTAAATTAAACTTACATTTATCTTTCATTTTCATTATTTATCTAATAAAATGATGAATGATTTCTAGTTTATCAAACTCTACTTCTACTCTTGTTTACCCAAGCATTAATTTATGCTAATAAATATTTATTCAACACGTACATAATCAGGCACTATTCAAAGGCCCAGAGATACAACTGTGAGGAAAAGCAAACTAGTCCCTTCCATCATCTAGATTTTATTCAGCTGGGAAATAAATTTCAGTGAAGAAACAAACGAACAAGTGAATAAATAATTTCTGTTATATATGCTATGTAAAAAAATAATAATTTTCCTGGTCAGAAATACGTGAGCAAGCTGTAAAGGTACTAAATATATATATATATGTTTTATTATACATAAATATAATATTTATATATCATATTTCATTATATAATATTTATATATTATATATTTTTATATATCTAATAAAATGTATAAAGGAACTAATAGATATATAACATAAATTTATACATAAATTTATATATGTGTGTATATATATATATAAAAGGAAGAAACTAGTCAAAGTATGTGTGTGTTTGTGCGTGTGTGTGTGTGAGAGACAGAGACAGAGACAGAGAGAGAGAGAGAGAGAGGGAGAAAG